TAAAACACAATATATACAATTCAGTAATTGATACACTGGCTAGGATAGCCTCAGATAGTATAAGAGATACCTAGATGATCACAGTGTACCAGTAGTAGTAGTGTACCCAAATCAACAAAGTTTGACCGCAACATGTTCCAACACAGCCATCTCGATTCCTTAGTCTTTCGTTTCCACTGAACCAGCAGTGGTGCCAAAAGAGTCAAGTGCGTCTCATAACGAAGAAACATTTGTACAAGAGAAGGCATAGGTGGCCCAAACTCTGCCACAGGCTCTTTCACAGTGGATTATTCAAGAGTTTGTATAGTGGTTTAGTTGGACTTGCTTTTGAGCTCCGTAAATGTAAAGTTGTGTGAAATAAATAAAAGAAAATTGTCTTACCTTCATAGAGAGTAGTCAGTGCTCTCCAGTTGAGCTAACCGCCTCCCGGTTAGCTCAATTGGTTAGAGCGCTGGACTGTTGTGCGGGAGGTCGAGGTCGATGGTTCGAGCCCCGGCCGGACCAACACTCAAGGTCTTAAAATAACTGAGGAGAATGCGCTACCTTTCTATAATATCAAGAAATGGATAGACATTCTAGTCTTCTCGGATAAGGACGAATAAACCGTAGGTCCCGTCTCCTGCATCTATTAATTAGTTAATTTGGTTAGGCAGGGGACGTTAAAGAACCCACTCACGAGATTACTGTGATGTGGTCTGGCCTGTTTACTGGGAATTGGGGGGGAGGGGGCATCTTCAAATAAGTTTCCTTCGATTGTTTGTAAACTGCTGATGCAGTCCGGCCAAAGTCCCCCGAAAAGTGTTGTGATGGGGATTTGATCATATCCACATGCCAATTTGCGCAATATAAAAATTAAGTTATTATTATTATTATGTTCCCAATGGCTACCAGCGATATTTTCATACATTTGTTTTGACTGACCGCTGTGATTGCTTTGGGTTTTTGCTTTAAAGACTACGCTCTAACATTTCTTATCTACTCTTTAGGTGCGAAGCCTGTGGAAGGGAGAAATCTCAACTTAACGAGAATTCTTCAGAACATGGTTACGGCATGTGAGCGAGTAAGTTATGTGCATTGGTCTATCAATGGAAGTAACTTTGCCAGCTGCGACTCTTGTCAGGGTTGCGAAAATTGCTCTAAAAAAGGACGCGAAGGCAGTAACGATGAAGTCAGTTTGGATTTCAGGAGAAGATTAAGATTTACGGGAGGTCTAATACTGACCAACATTTAAGGTTATGATGACGGACTCGAGATTGAGGTCAGATTTGACATTAAAAAAGACTCTGGTGTGAAGAGAACGGTTGGGCCTAAGACTATAAGGATTTTGGTCGAGAGGGCTCGGTACTTTTCGTCATTAGTAGTCACGAATGCTCCTACTCTGGTAATATCCACTTCTCCTAGGTCTGTCTCTCAAAGCAGAGTGTCTGGTCCACCCTTCACTATCCGCAACCCAGAGCATGAAAAACACAAACCAACGAGCGGTGCATCAGCCACAAACAGACTTGCTCTGACATTGACAGTGATTGCGGTTACTAGTCTCCTCTGAATTTGTCTGAGAAAACAATGCCGTAAAAGACCATACCGGAAAATTCTTCTTTTAAACAAGTTCTTAACCTTAACTTTTATTTTTGCAGGTTTCAAAAGAACTTTTTTTTGTATTACAAAACGTTGCACGGTTGTTGCAGGAAACTACTGAAAATAAAATAAATTTTCCTTTTGTATAGGACCTATTTTCTTAGTTTTTTTTTTTTAGGAAAAAATTTGTATCTTACTCGCTTATAGGAGGATATTTTATAGAACTGAGTACTTTCAAAACGAAGCAGGTATCATATGCAAGGTCTTTTAACTTCCGATGAAATTAGTTCAGATATTTATTTTTTAACTTGTAAAGCTATTTATGGGTAACAAATACGTGACGTAAATAAAGAAATAAATTCATTTTGTGTTGTCTGGTTTACCCTAGCCTGCGTGCAGACGGACTTTCCTTCGTCCCTTCGTTAAGTCCGTCTGCGAAATAACGAACAAAACCGTGTTCTGAGACCCTCCGCAACTAGCAGGGAAATATATTGTCGATCGTAATTGGCTATTGCCTTTACTGGTTCAAACGAGCCATTTTGATTGGCTCGCCTCTTCGCTCCAGTCTTTTGCTGCTTTAGGTCAATGTTTTGGTTTTTCGCACGTGAGTCTGAGATTGACCGGGGTCTTAGTTGTGTAGGTGTACCTGAACGTGGCAGATGGAAATCAGTGAATGTCAATGTAACCTTTGCTTCAAATATATTGAAAAGGAATGCGAAAGATATCGTGTGGATGGCAGAGGAAAATTCAATGTTCGCACAGATATACAAACGCTACCGTTTGAAGTAGCAAATAGAATTCAATATGTTTGTTGCATTTGCGTAAATCAACAGCTACACCTAGAAGCATATCTTTGAATTGAGAATCGTCAAGAATGCCTCTACCAGTCATCGTTGACAACATGCATTCCGGGGAACAGTACACGAGCACAAAATTGCCATTCATGACTTGCTGGATTATTTCTGGGTCATCTACATTTGTGAGTGCGCGCTACAGCGGGAATTCCAAGATTGTTGATCTTTCCAACTTGACCTTCCATCAAAGCAGTTAGAGGAGAAATTACAACAAGCACACTAGATCCTCGGGGTTTTTTAAACAGTACGTCAGAGACGATTGGAAGACATTGATAGATAAGAGACTTGCCGTATCCAGTGGGAAGATTAATGAACACGTCTCCCTTTTCGAAGAAAGCCCTTATACCATAAACCTGTTCTGGCAATAGATCATCGACTTGATTGTAACTTTTCACTTCTTCTAAAGCACAATTCCAACACTCTTCTGAAAACTTCGACGACGCCATATCTCTAGCATTAGGGAGCTTACGAATCGATGACTTTCCAGAGGACGACGACAACTCAACACTAGAAGTTGTTTATGCGCATGCGCTACCGGATGTGGCATTATTTCGCGTGTCGTCTTGAAGGAGGCGACGACTTCAGAAGAGCTGTTTTGAAGTCGTCTTCGCAGCGACGCATCGAAAGGTACGTTTTTTTCGGAATATTGGCTGAATCTAACGCTTAATCCTCAAACACCTTCCAAATGTACCAACGGGAGCTTTCCTGAAACAGTTTTTTGCTTCTTGAATGTTATTTACGTCATAGTTTTTAATTATCAAACAGGAAAGATGTCAAACGGCGAAAACAATGACCAAAGCCCTTCAAACGCACGGTGAAGAAATAAATAAAAAGGGAAATTGGCCTTTAAGGTCAATTCAGATACCAAGAGAGATAAACTGTAAAAGAAACTAGTCTTCTTCATTCAAAAGTTCTAAGTTTTTATTCATTCATTGGCTATAAACCAGTTTTGAATAGTAATCAAATATTCTTTAAACGCTTTCGAGTTGTCAAAAGATGCAAAACAAGCGATGCGAAGATTCAGTCAGATATACTGAAAGATTTTGTCAAGGAATCGATCCAACTATTCGGCCATTGTAAGTAACAATCTCATCCGCTAACTGAAAAAAAATCAGCAAGCTTGAAAAAGTCATTTTAGTAAAATCGGGATTCAGCATTGTACTGATCATTTCCCAGCCGTTGTCTAAATCGAATCGATCATACTTCCAATACCGAAAGTCCGGGTTTTTTGAAGCATTGACATCATACAGCAAAAGAAACTCCCTGTCGGTGATAAATCCTTTTCTGTAGGCATATGCAATACACTCTCTGTTCTCTGCAAAGTTCGGAATTTTAATCAACACGTTAAAACAATCTAAATAAAAAAGTCAGTCTGCGACTTAAATTTGGTGGGAAATCTCTGCGTCGACGTCCGCAGCTCGTAATTTAAATTTGGCGCGCAATGGCAAACGACGACAACGAAGTCGATGACGTCTCATAAAGTGCCCACATTGTCGCGACCAAAGTCGAGAAAGAAGTCATCGATTCGTAAGCTCCCTAATCGTAAACTTCAGCGAAAAACTGGAGCGAGGAGGCGAGCCAATCAAAAGGCTTGTTCGAACCAGTAAAGGCAACAGCCAATTATGATCGACAATATATTTCTCTGCTAGTTGCGGGGGTCTCAGAACACGGTTTTGTTCGTTATTTCGCAGATGGACTTACGAAGGAACGAAGGAAAGTCAGTCTGCACGCAGGCTAGTTTATCCACGAGTATACGAAGAATACTTGTACACAGTTTTCTTTTCCTTCTTCATATTGTTTTGTGTTGGGGGGCGTTTTAGTTTACGAAGAACCATGATCACATTAATGACTAGAATCGACTGAGCACGGAAATTCCGCCCTTGCGAAACGACTCGTAAGGGATTGCCTGAGGGAATAGTACGAGCTTTTCTTGACCAATTACAAGGCTACGTAATGAAAACCAATGCAAACCTGGATTAGTTTCGACACTCTATTGGAAACTGTTACGCCGGAGGACTCAGTCACATAACCGATTAACCTCGGTTCAGTCCTCTCATTTTAAAACAGCCCGGCTTCACTCAGTCAAATTATCCCCAGTTCTCCCTTTAAGCCTGGGGGCAGGTTCACCTTAGCAGCTTTGTCCCAAGAGATACTACTGGAGGTGTAGTATCGTCATTCAGACACAAAGAGACTGTCCCTTCTTCATTGCCAAAGGCTAACTGAACTTTATTAACAAACACGTTACACATAGAAGTAGAAGACTTTTACTGACTTATAGTAATTTTACTGCATGCAGGTATTTCCAGTAGAGTAGGATGACTGCGAGTAGTGCATTTACTGAATTAAGTACAAATTGCTCACCTTAGAACCCAGCTCGTTGTCAATAATTACAAGATAGGTGCATGTGTAGTCAATACACTACAGGTGGGAAATAACATCTTTCGTTTTTCTAGGGGATCTCTCTTGCATACAAACAGGCTGCAAAGCTTGGAAGAATACTGTATCAACATTACCTACACCGCGGCCCAAGGGTTCAAAGTTCCCAGACTGAAAAATCAGTATATTGTAGGCGTGGACACAGCTATGAGAAACTTGTCAGTAGCCGGATGTCCGCAAGGCACTCGGCCCACATTGTCGCGACCAAAGTTGAAATCTTCCGCTGGGATTTCACCTTTCATTCTGTGAGTTAATTTTCTTCTGGGGGGGATTTATTGTCTGCATCACAAAGATGAAATCTTCCGGGGGTGGATTTCAACTCTGAATCAGACATAATGCAACGTGCTTTCGTGATCTTTGCGATTTCCAAGACTGTTGAGAATCTGTTCGGAAAATAATGCAAAGGCGCTCTACCGGTGGGAGATACCTGAACACCAATGTTCTCATACTCGGTATGTAAGCATTGTAATGCATTCCATCAATTTTACATTGGGAACCTTGGAAAAATTTGGCCACAACGACATCAAGGACGTGGTGAGATATAAAAAAAGATTTAATGAGCATAACAATTGCCATATACGTGCCACGTGCCACGCGCGGGACAAACTTTTTTCGTTTACAAAACAACAATATGCAAAACGACAAGACGAGGGGTCAATGAAGTCGCGTGAGGAAGAGGAAAAACGACGGCAAATTATTCGCGTTTCTATTTAGAGCTCAAAACTGCCTTCACGTTTTACACTGACTGAAGAGAAAGGCTGGCGTCCAGGATAGGCAGCGTTGAAAATAAGCAAATTTAAGTTGGAACATTCGACTTCCATTCCTTAAGATTGTAGAAATTTGGTGTAGATAAAAGTATGAATACTGGAATACACTTGAGCGAAAAACAAAGAAGCACTTTGTGAAATTTATTTTGCAGCCTCGAAGTTTGTAAATTTGATTAGTAAATATGTAACAGTGTTTTCAATTATTCGCCGTAAATGTTGCAATCTGATTCGCTGCTCTTCTCGCAATCTATCCCTTTATAGACAGTAAGGTGAGTAAGGTGAGTAACCTAACAGTATGTGGTTGTGAATAAAATTAGATAAAAACATGTTACCGTTAAGTTCCTTAGTTTTGAACGACAAGTAGAGTTATGTCAAAAGAATTAGATCGTTCGTTCTCAACTTCTTTGCGAGAGAGTTGTTTCCGTTGCTTTTCCTTATTCGACTCTGGAGCTTATTATTAATTGTTAAATAGCTGTGTAGCTTTCTAGAAACTTATGTTAGTTAAGAAAGAGTATAATACTTTTATATAAGGATATATTCATTTCTTAGTCTCCTAGGAAGTTGAATCTTTTCCTCTCGATTTTTATTCGCGATAGCTGATTCGCAATCGATAAAAATCCGAAGCTAATAATTTTATTGTTAAATAGCTGTATAGATTTTTYTAATACTTCTCGTGATCAGGGAGGTGTATAATCCTTCAAGAGGGTCTATATTAAGAAACTTCTTTCTAAAGTACAAATAAAAGTTTTAATGGAGTTGACATTCAGAAAAACCGATGAAATATTCAGAAAGCAGTAGAAAAAAAAAGAACTCAGACTTCAGAATAAGGCAATGTTAGACCTGCAAAAAGCTTTCATCATTGCATATTAGTTCAACTCGTAGCCTCTTTTTGAACCGATACGAAGTTTGGGAAGTTAATGGACTTTTAAGTGCACGGCGTCAACTACCACCTCAATCAAGACGGTATGGAGATCTTGGCCTCGAATGTTAAGACTCAGCGGCATTTCATATTGCGACAAGGTACAGTTAAATAGCTGTATGGTTTTCTTAAAACCATTTGAAATTAAGAAGGTACATAATCCTTTGAGAGCTTCTATATTGAGATAATTTCCCTCTAAAAATATCAGTAATTGTTGTAATGGAATTGACGTTTAAGAAATACTTTTAAAATATACGGAGACTAGACGAAGACTGAGAACTTAGACTCCAGAATCAGCAAAAGTTAGACCTGCAAAAGCTCTAATTCTTGTATATGAGTAAAACTCGTAGCCTGTTTATGACGGCCGAGGACAAAGTTTGAGGAAAC